CTATATCCCAAAGCAGACCGAGCATTTTGCGCTTAGGTCACGACGTTGTACATTTCTTTTGGTTGATGGCTGTTGGTCCCAGCGAGGATGCCATTATCTATCGAAGCGAGATTTTTCAGTCGTGACAGCGATGAATGAGCTAACTCCCACACACGTGTGATGCAATGATCATACGTGTCCGACAAGATGACGAGTAAGTCGATTGCCACACTCGTAGAGGTGGCTGACGATCTGTAGGGATAGCTAGAGTCTACAATTCTATGAGTTCGAAACTGGCCGGCGTGCGCTATCACAGCCGTTTGGGTTATTACGCTCCGTCTTCGAGCTATTATCGACATCTTTAACATCAGAAAAAAGGAGTACAACTAGCACTCTTGAATTCGGTACTACTTAAAATTAATATCCTGAACCGAACGATACGATCATTTTAAAGATGCAACCCTCGGATTTTGGCCTCCTAGCCAGTCATCTCGAGCCACCCGGCGGTCGAACAACTCCAAGACAGTCATCTAGAGCCGCCCAACCGTCTCCATAACAAAAGCTACATTACGCCCACAAACCCTCCTGGGGGCCTAGCTGAATTCAGCAAAAGCGAGGCATCCTCCAGAAGGCTGAAGATTGCCCAGGCATGACACAAACCAAATTGGCTGTATGGGCAAAGATCACCTACCGGCTCAAGCGGCTGCCTGCGCAAACGACTGTTTCCGACATTCTCAGGATGGCCCCCCATATCATGAGCGACGGCTACGGAGACGGCAAGAGGCGTAAACCCCTCCAAGTTACGTCTTCCGAGCTGGTGAATCAGCTATGGAAGTGGATTGAGAAGATGGAGGAGCAAGGAATTTGCCTCTCGCGTCAGCTTATCAAGATTAAGGCTCGGTATATCCAACGGGGAGTCTGTGATGTGTGGGATCTCAACTTTTCAGATGATTGGTTAACAGCGTTTGGGCGTATACATTATTAAGGCTCTCGACTTCGACCTGGTGAATCTGGATCCGCCGACCCTGACGCTGTTGCAACTGGCCGTCTAAAGCTACAGGAGCTAACCGATCTGTACGTCCCCTAGAACATCTATAACATGGACAAGACGGGGCTCTGCTACGCTATGGCTCCCGCTCGCTCCATTTGCACCAAACGAGCACGTGGCGTAAAGAAAACAAAACAAGAATTAGCATCGATCTTGCGGCAAACGCTGATGACACGGACGCCCTTCCCGCGCTGTTTTTGGGTCGTGTGAAGCAGCCCTACTGCTCTAAGAAACACACTGCAAAGGAGGTGGGTTTTAGCTAGTGAGCCAACAAGAAGGCCTGGATGACGGGCCATATATTTCAACAATGGCTCGTCGATTTTGATCGAGACATGCGTGCACGTGGACGACACATTCTATTGCTCCTCGATAATGCATCTTCTCACAACACAGGGGATTCAGTTTGCACAAATGTCCGTGTGGAACTTTTGTCGCCAAACACTACGGCGTTCCTGCAGCCGATGCATGCTGGAATCATCGCTGCGCTTACGCAAGCGTACAGGAGGAAGCCGTTCCGAGGGGGCATTGGCAAAAATGAACACGGTGAAAGCATCAACAAAAAAGCGTACGTAATCGCCCACCAATATGTTAAAAAGTGGAGCAAGGAAATATGGACTGAAATGAAAGGTAAGCCAACGATACAAAACTGTTATTGCCACACAGGGAGAGCTTTCAATGGAGTGAAGGGAGATAATAGTGAGGCTGACTTCTCCAGTTACGGAGGTAATGCCACAATAGAGGACATCATAGTCCGCGCTTCGCAGCTGAGCTTGTAGGTACATGTACACGTAGAAACTTGTTAAACAATATTTCAAATTGTAAGATAGGGTCGGACCACGGTACCGGAAGTGTGACGGGGTCACACAGCACCTTGCGCTAGAGGAAGTTATCTTCCGAGAGTATACAAACTCTCAGTGAACGGCAGTTCACAGGTCCCCTCTTTAATTAAAGAGAGCGAAGTGATCTAAATAAGGTAGATT